AAGTCAAAGTGATCGCTGAGAGCCTGGCTATGATCGCCAAGTGCAGCGTCACTGTGGTGCTGGTGGTGTTTGCCCCCGATTGGGGTCTTTACATCTTCTCTGCTGGCCAGGTGAGACACAAAGCTGAACTTCTCCACAAATACAATACCCACAAATCACAATCTTCAATGTAGACTTGCTGGCTCAAAACTTTAATCTATAGCTTAAAGTTTCACTTAAAGACATGGAAGTGATTACAACGGATTGTGTTTTTCTTTTTTTTTAAGTTGGTGTACACTGGATTTCTGGTGTTGTGCTACGTCATCTACTTCATTCGTTTCTTGGGTTCCAAAGAAGCAGCAAAGAAGACCTTCCCTCTGCAGCATATCAGAGATCTGCTGCCAAGCAGAGCTGATGGAGAGGTTGTTGACCCAGAACAGCTTCACGACTGCATAGTGTTTAAATAAAATCCTGCCGTACCATCCTGACTGTCTGCTGTATTTGCAGCCGCTGGTAGACTGGACCGTGGCCCGGCTCACTTGGAGCTTCTTTAAGCAGTCGTTCCTGAAGCAGATCCTGACAGAGGGCGAGCGCTACGTCATGACCTTCATGAACGTCCTCAGCTTCGGAGACCAGGGCATCTACGACATCGTCAACAACCTGGGCTCCATGGTGGCACGCTTCATCTTCCTGCCCATCGAGGAGAGCTTCTACATCTTCTTTGCCAAAGTGCTAGAGAGGGGACGCGACGTGGAGAGCCAGAAAAAGGTGTGAACGAACAAAAGCAACCTCGAGATGGTAATCTTTGCTCTTGTCTCTTAACGTTGTGGTTTTCCACGCAGGAAGATGTGGCGATTGCAGCAGAAGTCCTGGAGTGTTTGCTGAAGCTGGTGCTGGTAATTGGACTAATTATCGCAGTGTTTGGATATGCGTACTCTTACCTGGCTCTGGATCTGTATGGCGGCGCTATGTTAAGCAGCGGATCAGGTACGTGTACCACAAACAACACTTAAAAACTGAATAAATGATTATTTTCTGATCTTACTAACAAGCTCCTGACTTCCTTAAAGGACCCGGTTTGCTGCGGTGCTACAGCTGCTACGTTCTCCTGCTGGCTGTGAATGGAGTGACGGAGTGCTTCGTGTTTGCTGCCATGAGCCAACAGGAAGTCGACAAGTAAGAACAGAGACAAAACAGACGCCGATAGTCCTCACGTGACCTCAGATCTCTTAATCTAACGCGGCTTGGGTTCGGTCCTCAGGTACAACCTGGTCATGCTGGCTCTGTCCATGTCCTTCCTCCTCCTGTCCTACATGCTGACATGGTGGGCCGGTGGCATCGGCTTCATCCTGGCAAACTGCCTGAACATGGCCCTGCGTATTTCCCACAGCCTGCTCTACATTCACCGCTACTTCCAGTCCAGTCAGTGGAAACCGCTGCGAGGCCTTTTGCCTTCCCCGCTCCTGCTGGTGGTGCTCATCATCAGCGCAGGTGTAACTGCAGGCTCTGAGGTACTGAAGAAAAGGTTTTATCTTATAATGCGTTATATTCAGAGACATTTCTGTACATTTAGAGTGCGTTCAGTATCTTTTTTTTTCACATCACAACCACAAACTTTAATGTGTTTCACTGGGATTTTATCCGATGGAAACAAACATATTTCACGTGATGACTGAAAAGGATTTGAAATAGGTATTCCACATAAAGATGAAAAAAAAAAATTAACACCACGGTCTCTGTTGAAGTTTGGGGTTGAAATGTGACAGTGCGATAAAACTCGAGGTGAATAAATATTTTATCAAGACGATGAAATGCTTTAATTTCTGTAAATTCAGCTTGTTAATTCTCGGTCGTCAGGCTGTTTTCTGCTGCGACGGCGGCTGGCTGTTCAGGATGGCCCATATCGGCGTAGGAGGAGTCTGTCTGCTCTTCGTCCTGGTGGCTGTTCTCCTCACCGAGACTCAGCTGGTGCAGTTTGTGAGGACTCAGCTGTTGCCTCGCTACAGAAAGAAACACACCTAACCAACCACACCAAAGACGACTGCTGCTGCTGCTGAGGAATGAAAATGTTTTACATTAACAAGCAGATTATCAACTAAATAACAGTTACTGCCTGTCAAACAGGGGGGGAATATATTTTTAAATTGGACCTTGTATGTTTTTACTCTAACATTCCCGTGTTGAATGTTTGCCAAATGTTATTTGTGGTTCAGGATCTTAAGTGTGAATGGAAAACATGAATGTACTTGAAAAATACGTTTTTTTTGTTACCAACCTTGTTTTTTGCACTTCACAGCTAAAAGTGTATGAAATGTTAAGTTAAACGAACAAAACAAAAATCTAACAATTTGAATTCAGTTTGGTTTATTTCTTTTGAGTGAGTAACAGAGAGAAAGAGGGAAGAATTGCAGCAAATGTCACCAGGCTGGGAATCGAACCTGCGACCGCTGACATGAGGACTAGGGCCTCAATGCATGGGTTGTGCTTTAGCCCCTGCGCCACCACAGCACCCCCTCCAGTAACATTTTAATCCTAGTTATAAACCATAGAGTCAAATTCAGTTCATTATTTAAAATTCAGAACCACTGGGTCAGCTAATGTGAAAAGAACTGAAAATGTGCTAAAATGGCTCAATTTCATCCGGTCTCCATGACAGAAACGGCACTAGAAGAGGACGGGCCACAGATAAAGTTTTCAATGGAAAGGAAGAGAAAGTAAAATTATTGGCAGCATTTGCTTTACCAGTGACTTTGTGGGAAAGAGACCAGAAAAAAACCAGGACCACCAGTTATAGTTATGGGAATGAAGCACCTACTACACAAAGCCATCCGGAGTAATATCTTTGTTAATGGATTATTCCATTAGAGAGAAAAACACAGAAGTGATGGACAAGGACTCTTGTTTTGTTTAAGAGAGGAAATCAGAGAGTGCACAGAGATTTTGGCAACAATGAAGAGGCGACTGAAAACAAGCACTGAGCCACAAAAACTAAGTCAATCACTGGATCAGGAGTAACTTACATAATTAATGCCAGCAAATGCAGATAATGATCATTGTTGAGATTTTTTCTTTTTATTTTCAGAAACGGAAAGTAAAAAATGCAAAGAAGGTGGAGAGACTTTGGAAAATACAGAGAAAACCATCAGCATCCCAAAAAACAAAACTTAAATGGCGCTATATTCACCCATATTTATTTTACTAACCTTCTTTATTAACCAGTTAATTAAATGACTTTATGTTTTCTGAATCAGTTTCCGGATACTGACTAGATTACTGCCTAATCACACAAACACATAAAAGAAAAAAAAAATCTCCATTTAGTAAATCTGGTCGGTGCTTTCCGACTTTACATTAGATCCAAATTTTACTTATTAGGAAACTGGAGCATCACTGAAATCATTTCATCATGTAACAAGTGGATGAAATAAGCTAACGGTGGTCACTTTCTTGATTTTTATTTATTTTTTTTACAGTGTGGGATTCAGTTTAAGAGGATTACAGCAAATAAATGTTACAGGATCAATTCAACAAGCTCGCAATGTTGCTGGGAAAAACTTTCCAGTGATTTGTTGGTCTTTCTCCTGTGTTGTGTTTAGATTAGTCAGAATCTAAACAGTGATGTCAGCGTGGAAAATGAGCTGGAGTGGGAGGGAAAAGCATTTCTACAAGGGAAGTGTGGGTTTATCCTGCTGTCAGCCTGATTTTCTCTGATATCTGCACAAGTAAACACTAGTAAAGAGTCTGCTGAGGTTTTAAGATGTATTAAGACACGCGGTTATCCTTCCAAACCGCCGTTTAACATCGTTACAAAGCATTTTTGCTGCAGTAAAGTACAAAAGAAGAGCCTAAACCTCATCTCCCTGCATCTCTGGGATCTGTTAGATGAAGCACAAGTTCCAGCTGTGATCTCATCATTCTGTAATGAGACAGCCAACAGGAGGAGCCTGCTCACTTATGCACTGAAAGCAGATTCGATGTTCACTGGGAAAATCATTGCCAGATTGTCTGTGTATGTAAGCGTGCGCGGTGGGCGGCCAGCTGACAGGAAGACAAGAACATTTACAGCTGGGCATCTACTGCTGCACGGCCGCCATGTCTCAAGTAAGACCCGGTTTTTAGTTTTCCCAGTTGTTGTCAGCTGGTGTAGATATGGAGATGAGTTAAAGCGAGCGTTTCTGCCTTCCAGCCTGCACAGGAAGACGAACAGACGCAGCGACCTGTAGTGAGAGAAGAGGACCTGACCGAAGCAAAGACCAGACTTGGTGGTGGCGGGGCAGTGAAGAGCAAGACCTTTGAAGTGATGGAGGAGTGTGGTGAGGGCGTTGATATGTACCTAGAGACATTTACGGTAGAGTTCCTTGACACAAATTTTTGCTTTTGACAGCAGACTGCGTGTATCTGTTCTCCATTTGGTCAAACTGGGGGTCACATAATGACTGTAAGGGGAGTTTAAGTCTGATGCAGAAGTTTCCAGTCCATATACAGAGAGAGGAAACATGGCGCTTTAATGATGGGACATTCCTGTCCCTCCCTGTGGAGTTAAAACACGAGCGTAAATAAAATAGACGTTAACAGTTTCACAACAGCTTGTCCACTATTCAGTGAATCTTCTGATTTATCCCGGCTGTTTGCAGAGAAAGTTGGTAAAGCGGCTCCCTCCGTGTTCAGCGGAGCGAGATCAGGAGGAGAGACGGCTTTCAACACTCGCTCCGCTCGGCAGGCCAGGAAGTGAAAGGAAAACTTCCTCTGCATGGATGAACGCCGCCTCTTCCATGTTACTGATGTAATTTAACCGGTTTCTTATTGTTGTCAAAAACATCTTTTTTTTGTTGTTGCTTCATATCATGCAACTACAACAAGCTGAGAGATGTTCAATAAACCTCTTACTCGGTTAAAAGCAATAAACTGTTTGATATAATTTTGATGTTACTTTATTTCACTTTTTCTGTTTATGGAAGGTTCTTACAGTCAGTTCTGCTTTTAGTCTTAGTTTTCTGCAACTGAGGATGGATTTATTGTAATTTTTTTGCACATCTTTACCAGGGGCGCCAATAAAAGGAAGCGCTGTACCACACTGAGTTTGATGTATTAAATTTTAGAGCATATTTATATTGTTTCAAACAAATTTTACCGAGTCAGACACTTTATGAACAGAGCAGGATTTTTGTATTCGATGGACAAATTTTCCGTGTCAACTGCTAAATCAAACTAATGTTTTAAAAAAAATTGAAATTTTGCTTCCTCGTTTATTTTCTAACGATTTTACACTGATGTAATAAATACCAGCGCAACTTAGGCAGTACTGTATGAAACACACAAGACTGTTTATGTAGTAAACATCTATTGCACCGGATAGAAATGGAAATAGTCAGTAATTGTGAGTTTTCTCTTTTATTTCAAAAATTTCAACAAAAATATTAAAACTGCAAATCCATCAGAACAGAACTACTACAGTAGAAGGCTGGGAGGCAGAAATGCGACGATGCACAGCTGGGAACGCAAAAGACGAAGGGCAGAACGAGGGAGGAGGAAGTGGAGCGTCTTCCTGTGGGTTTTCATTTCATGAACTTGTGCTGCTGGTCTTGGAGGATTTTGGCTGACGACTTGGCGTCGTAGAACAATTCGTTAATCTCCTCCACCTGTTCCCTCTCCACGGTCTCTTTTCCCTGGACGCGGCCCAGCAGGCTGGCTGGGGTCAGCAGCTGCACGGCGTACCTGAGAGGAAATGGGAAATATGAGCGGCGATGCAAACATCTATGGTTATCGTTAAAATTTTTTTTCTTTTTTTTTTTTTGCCATTTAATAGATTTAAATTTTAGCTATCAAATAATTATCATTTTCATCTTTTGAACCAGATAAAACAAATGTATTTGCAGTGGGGAAGCCAACATGATTCAGAGCCACTGTGAGCAACTCATTTTACCTCCACACAAACTCCTCCACCTCTACTGAACCTTTTGATTTCAATTATTATTCTGCACAAATCACAGGATTCATGCGCATTTTTTTATGTCAAAACTTCCAGACTCCAGACTTAACTAAAGTTAAGCATTAATAAAAAAAAAAAGTTCACCAGGATGGATTGCTTATGGCAATAAGAAATTAATCACATAAGTTAAAATGAGGTCAATAATTTCCATAGTGATGATAAATATTTTTTGAAATGAAGAGACATCATATTCCTTTTCATTAATGGTTTCTATTGTGTGTGGTTTTATTTCCATTTTATTTATCGTTTTTAGTTGCCGTGTTAAGTGTTGTTCACAAAAATGTAAGTTTCTTGGTCTTTGAAAGGGCGAACTTGCATTATTAAGCCATTATGAACATATATCTTGAAATCGGCTTCAAAAACTATATTTTTTATTGCAAAGATTATTTGGAAAAACGTATTGCCCAGCTACTGAGTCAGGCCTACATGGATGAACGGACGAATGGATGGACGGAGAGTGAAGTCTGGAATCAGTATCTCTCATACTGTATTACACATCGTGATTTCTTTTTAATAGAAAAATCCTAAAACTGCAAACTTTCACAGTTTGTCTAGAAACCCGATAATTAGGTCTTTAAATAAAACAAAACAAAAAAATCATCAAGTGAATCAAACCTTCAGAGGGAAACGTCAAAACATTACCTGAGGGTTGTTTTGGTGCCGATCTCTGCCAGGTGTGTGAGGGCCTCCTCGCTGATGCTGATCCCCTCGGTCTGAGCGCGGATCTTGACGATCTGCGAACCGCAGCCTTGTTAGCCACACAGAGCAGCGTCAATGCTAAGCAGCTAGCATTGACGCCGCTCCCAGCAGACTCACCTGCTTCAACTCCTGCGGCGTGTACAGCATGGTGCGGATTATCATCACCCTGTCCAGCAGATCCAGAGGGATGCCGTGTGGAGAGCTGATGTCTTCGGTCCCCCTGATGAACGACGTCACGTTGTTTCGATTGTTTCAACGGAAACCTTTTTTTTTTTTCTCTTTCCGGTTAAAAAACAAACACCCGGTTCTCACCTGATCAGGCATTTCCCTCTGTTGGAGGCGAACACAACGATCGGGGCGATGCTGCTCTCCAGAGCTCGATGGAGGTAAGTGAAGCACTCGATGTCCAGCATGTGCACCTCGTCCACAAACAGGACGCCGGGGACGAGCTCGGCCACGCCTTGGTCTATGTAGCGGTTCACCACCTTGTTGATCTCGGCTCGAAGCTTGTCTGAGGCGGGAAAAGAACAGCGGTCAGCTTGGGACGATTAGATCCTGGGAGTCGGAGGGTTTCGTGTTGTACCTGTGATTTCTGTCTTTTTGGGCTTCATCAGCTGTCCCATCATAGAGAGAATGTCCTGACCTCCCTGGGAGGAGACAATTTGAGCTTAGTCATCGTTCTCGAAACTAATATATATACATACATCATATTTGAAGGCTTATGCACCTGTGGCCGGGCATTGGCAACATCTAGGTCGTGCAGTGTGACGTCTTGGACTATCTCCTTCTTCTTGTGGACGTCGCCTTTGGGAAGTGGGACGTACTCCTCGGCCTCAAGGTCGAACTCTGTTGCAAAGGTGTCGCAGCGGCCTTGCCTCTGCAGAGACATCACGACACACAACTCTATTAAGCAAGAAAGTCTCGTCCAAATGCAGGAGCAGAGCAGGGGGAACGAGGGCAGGTGTGTGATGTGGCTGCCAGCCCATTGCAGAGAGAAGGCCTTTGGCTGAGGGATCAAACAGAGCATGAGGCTGCTGTCAACAGTAACAAATGTGCCACCCAGTCCTTTTCCTTTGCCGCTCGACTGCAGCTCACCCCCCCGCCCCCTCTTCAGCCCCCCGCCCACCTGCAGCGATTAAAAGAACCGTCATCACAGCCTGTCAGCGCAGGCCACAATCCCCGCTGCGCTGAGAGATGGAAAGATAGACGGAGAATGAAGGGCTGCAGGAACGAGAGCTGCATGCAGGGCGGAGAGAGATGAAAGCAGAATGCCACCATGAAGGACCGAAGAGGACAGGAGGCAGGGAAAAAAAAAAAAAAAAAAAGACTCGACTTTGATCTCAGGAAGAACTTATTCTTTTCGCGACATAAACACAATCCGTGTTTAATTCGAAGCGTTTTCTTTATTTTCTTGTTGACAAATGTGCTTCATATGGCTGGAAATGGTGAAAGCATCTGGAGTAACGGCACACAATGTGAGACAGAATCCTGATATTGGATTCTACCATTTTTAATAACCACAGAGCGAACATCTATTTGCAAACAGTAAAAACTCCTGAATCTGCTTTAAAGAAATACTTCAGCATGAAACCTTTCAGAGCGTAAAAATAACAGTCATGGACAGAAGAAGACATTGTTTATTCATAAAAAATCGTTCAAGAGAGGAAGACAGAGTGTGCTTTTTAACCGCAGCCCATGGAGTCAGGACTCAAATTCACACTATTTCAGTTTTGAAGAAGCAAAATGAGTCCTGTTTCACAAAATGAATGAAAGTTTACCTTGACAGCACCACTGTTGGCTTCGATGTAGATAACGTCTCCCACTTCCACGCGCTCTTTCTGAAGACTCTCATAAATGCTGGGGTCCAACTAGAGAAAGCGTAAAAGCAGTTTTTAGGTCAACACTAGGCCATTCGTGTTGCACAAACTATACTTTAAAATGAGCAAAATTGCTCCTAACAACATTAATCTGGTCCATACAAATAAAACTCAAGAGAAGGCAAATACTTTAAACAATTCCAAAAACTACTAATTTCATTAATCTGTACGTAATGGTGTTTGTTAGACACTTTGCTTCCAGAGATTATTTACTGGCAACGATCGAGGAAGAACAAATAAAGTTAAACAAAATCTGACCTTGAGCTGCTTGGTGCCCTTGGCCGTCTTCAGACCGATGATGACGTGGCTGATGGTTTTTCCGTAGCCACCCATAGGATTCTCCGTCTCACACGGGGTCAGCTCTGTCACCTCCCCTTCATACACCTCCTTTGTTTCTTTGATGCGCAGACCTGAACGTACACACACACACACACACACACGCGCTTCATAATGAGGATTCAATCAGGTCTTTATATTCCCGTCTGAGCTAAGCCGCCACATCTTTCAGACTGCTGAATAATGCCTTTTATTACAGGAAAGAACGTGTGCGCGCCGGGCAAATGCCAGAGCATCAGTGTAACATGATCACACCTCTTTCACAGAGGCTGTGGATCTGAGCATGAGCGGCACACAGGTGCCTGGTCCTCCATGTTGAGGGTCAGACAGCTGTGCTGGAGGCAGGGACTGTGTTGCAGAGTTGCTACTGATGGGGTGACGACAAACGAGACGAACCCCTCCCCGCCCCCAGGTTTCTGCAAAATCCCTTCTAAAGGTGAAGCCAATGTGATGTTGACCAGCTCTGTCTCTATTTCCTTCTCAGTGGAGAGGTAACATCATCAGTCAGCCAAACCCTTCCTATTTTTCTTTATAAAAAAAAAATCCTCTCTGTAAATTCACCATCAAGTGTTAGCTTGAAGACAAAGGCAGCAGATTTAATCAGGACACCCAGTTTCAATGGAAGTGAAGTTTTAAGAAAAGTGTCTAGGAAATGCTTTTAAAAATAAAGGTGACATAGGATGGTATGGTATATATCATACTTACCAATTGCTCTCCTGAAGTTCTCCATAAGCACTTCTGTTTTTTTAATTTCAGATGAGTACACTTCACTGCCAACCATGGGACAGAAAGGAACCTTGTTTCCCAACTCCTGTGCCATAGCTAAAGCGAGGGCAGTCTGAAGGTTGAAACGCAGAAATGAGAGGCCAGAATAAAAGTCATTATTCAAGTAAAAAGTCCCGGTTTAACGAGCTTGTACTCGTATCTCAGCTCTGTGGAAAAACAGTGCACAAACCTTTCCTGTTCCTGGAGGTCCTGCCAACAAAACTGCTCTTCCTGCCATCTTTTTTGAGCGAATCATCTCAACAATGATTCCACAGGCCTGAGGAAATTGGAAAAATGATGTGTATAGATATTAAGTGTATGCATACACAAAATAACTAAATATTTATAAATACGTCCACATTGGAGAAGGGGCTTGATTTAAGAGGTGCAACACAAACACTGGAGACATGAGCCACAAATTCCTAATGTGTTGCTGTCATCAAATGGAAATAAGGCAAGAAAAAAAAAAAGAAAATAAAGCAAAAAATATATGATTTGTTGTCTTTAGTCAAGGATTAATGAGACTTTAATGGGCCAATACTCATTCCCATTTCTTGGGTCTTATTTTGTCAGTTCAGATTTTTCTTTCTAGGACAAAAAAACAAACAAACAAACAAACAAAAAAACGATCCTGGGTAAAAATTGACTAAAATTGTGCTGAAGGGTCTTTGACATAGAAAACAGCTTTAATGAATCCAACAAAAATGTGAAGAAATGACAATAACAATTTCATGCACGTCCCTAACCATTTTTAGATTTTCTAAATACAAAACCTGAAACACAAACATTAAAAAACACGTTGAGACGTCTTGAAACCAAAACAGAGTGAATGTTTGGCTTAATGCAATGTTAACACTGGGACTCTTTATGTAATCATAAGGAGTGTATCATAAAGGGTGTATAATGTACAATATTACTATTATACATCTAACTGATGTATAATAGTAATATTTTTCTGACTGTTATCAACCTTTCCAGTTGACATAGAAAATTGAATTAAGTATAATATTTATACTACGTCCTAATGTAAATATTATACAAACAATGATTTGTCATAATTATTCAACTGTATTCCATAAAACGATTAAATCGATCCCAACTTTAGAACTTAGAAATAAATAGCGACCTGGCGGTGCTAACAGCGTTAGCATATTGTCTACTGAACGACCAGCGTTTAGCTAAATATGACTTGCAAAACGATTAATTAATGCCTTTTATGCACAGATGAATAATAACAATGTAGTGAAACATAAATATTACCTCTCTTGCAGTCTCCTGCCCGACCAGTCCACATGCTGTTTGTTTAGCATTTCCGGCCTCGTCTAGCCCCAGTCCCTTAACGTGACTGTGTGAGGCGATCCTTTGGGTTTTCGTGGTACTTTTTACCTCCTCTATCTTCATAGCTGTGTTATTTGTGTTTATGTGCAATGTAGAAGTCGCTAGTTTTTCTTAAGACCAATATATACCTGATTTCCCGTTTGATTATTTTAAACTATCGCAGTCGGCGCCGAAACTCAAAACACAGGGAACTCGGTTTCCATGTGGGTTACTAGGGAAAGTGAGCGGAAGTGCGTCCCCCTAAGTTCCCGCCTACTGTGGCAAATATGAAATATGATTGGATTCTGTGAAAACATGTGAAAATGTAATTGGCTGAGATCAACTAGCCTTTTCCTGTGTGTTTCATTTGATTTGTCGTAGTGAAACAACAAGAAACACGTTACAAATTAATTATATGTTTCACTGTGCGTGGGTACAATCATAGAAATATTTCAACTGACATTCATATTTTTGCTAAAATTCAAGTGTCACTGTTTGAGAATGATTGATTTTATACTTTTATTTTATTTTGTTTACTTGCAAAAGAGGTTCCGGTTTAGCTTGTTTTCCGAGGGTGAAGTTCGCTGATATCTGGGAAGACGTTTCTTTCAGTAGAAAAGTTGTTTGTAGCCAGTTACATTAAAATGTTTTTATTGTAAATATACTATATTAAGTAACGCGGCGTGGTGAGTTCAGGGTCCGATTCAGAGTGAAGGAAAACGCGCATGTTAGATAACACCATCTCCAGACCGTGGAGAAAATGACAGAGTCACCAGATAGTCGGGCTAAAACTCTGAACTTCAATGTCGGGGTGCTCGGCCATGTGGACAGTGGGAAGACCTCGCTGGCCAGAGCGCTGAGCAGCACAGCCTCCACGGCAGCCTTCGACAAGAACCCGCAGTCACGTGAAAGGGGCATCACGCTGGACCTAGGCTTCTCCTCCTTCACCGTGGATTGTCCTGATCACCTGCGTGACAACGAAGGACAACAACAATATGACAGCCTCCAGTTCACCCTGGTGGACTGTCCGGGACACGCCTCTCTCATTCGGACCATCATTGGAGGTGAGCTTTAACCTTATAGGTGCAATAAACTTATACTAGACCATAGAAACGTATTGGCGTTTTTGTTTGAGCACATGTAAATTTATGTTTTAATCTCTTGATTAGAAAAATTGGCAAGATTTGAGCGAGTTTTACAAGTGCCAAACTGTGATGGCTTGACGACTGAGATCAGAGCATTTCCAAAACTGTATTCTATTTCTGCAGTATCAGTTACCACAGCTGAATTATATTAATTCATCCAGCAGGGGGCGCTGTCTCTCTTCAAATAAACCAAATTGAAAGACTCACGCTGACTAAAATTGTTGAATAAGTGGCGACAGTCGAAGTGGCAGCTGAGATGCATCAGGAAGGTTACATCAGGGACTGTATTAAGTTTCTCACCATGTTTGTGAATGATCAACAGCTCTACCTCTTCTCAAGACAGATTGCTGTAAATTGCAACTGTGAGACCCACTCTGCAGTTATGAGTGTCGTTTGTGGGCCGTCAGAGCCAAGAAGAACGAGGAAATCCATCAAAGTCAGAACAAGACAACTGTAGTTTTAGTTTCAATCTTATAGCTCTTTATTTGCCTTGATTTACCCCTCCTTTCATTTCGTGTCCTGTTTCCCAGTAATTTTTGCATGTCTTGCTCCATTTTTGTAGCAGTATTCAAAAATACTCGTTTCTCTTTTGCGGGAAAGGGAAGGATGGAGTCGTTCTGCTTCAGCTCAGTATTCCTCCGATGTCTTCATCTCCCAGGTGCGCAAATCATCGACCTGATGATGCTGGTGGTGGACGTGGTGAAAGGCGTGCAGACTCAGACTGCAGAGTGTCTGCTGATAGGAGAACTGACCTGCCCCCGCATGGTCGTCGTCCTGAACAAGATCGACCTGCTGCCGCCTAACAAGAGGCAAAGTGCCATTGAGAAAATGACCAAAAGGCTACACAAAACACTGGAGAGCACCAGGTCAGTACTGGTTTATAAAATTACACATCTGTGTAAATGTAGAATTGAAGTTTATTAGGGTAGGCTGAGTGCCTCAACACCACATCATGAAATAATTTAAGGGTTGCTGTTTTCCGGTGGACAGGTTCAAGGAATGTCCGGTGATTGCGGTGGCAGCGAAGCCTGGAGGCCCAGAGGCCCCTGAACTAGAGGAGCCACAGGGAGTGCCAGAGCTAATTGAGGTAAAGTTTGGAAGCTAATTGGTGCTGGTGTTGCTAAAGGCTATGTATGAGTTCTCATTAATTCAAAGGTGCAGCTACTATTTTGGGGCTTTTTTTTGTGCTTGTTTTTGTCTTATTAAAACAGATGCAGGTTTCCCTCCAGAAAACTAGCTAAGGCTGGTGAAGTCCACCAGTTGCCCCACAGCATTTTTGTGTTAAAAATTAACAGGAAATTTTGGAAATAAAACATCAGCAGCTAAGAAAATATAGCAGTTCACTAAATAAAACTAGCATTTCTGTATGTTTTGAATGTAGAATCAAATATAATTATCTATTTTTTTTAAATGGATAATTGTCTGCTAGCTCAAAGCCCTTCTTTGCTGTCACTTAGTGGTGCATTAAAATAACAATGGTTAGCCTGGTAGGGATCAAGTAAAGCCTGGTGGCCCGCCAGGCTTACAATATGCTGGGGGGAAACCCTGTGATGGATCGGTTGTTTGACAAAGTTAAGGAAATAACGTTCCCTGTCAGAATCAAAGTGTTTAAAATCCTGATATTTATATTTATTTAAATGTAGCTCTATGAATTTCTCATTGAAGGACAAACTATGTAACAAAAGCTTTTTGATTTCCACCGTGCTTCTCTTGTCCTTGAACACAAAATTAATAAGATTTGATGTCAGAAGTTCTTTGGTCCAGTCCTTGAGAGCCGGTAACCTGGCCTAAAAGATGTTGACACACCTGAATCAAATCAACTCTAAAAGCTGTGGCTTTTAGAGATATTAAGACCTCACTAAGCAGCACTAAAATTGCTCTGAGTTTATGCGAGCTAGTGTTAGGAAGTATCTAGGTGTTATAAAGTTATGGCAAAAAGTAGTAAGTCCCAGCTGCCTCCACCTGTTGCTACGAAGTGCCAGTCAGCTGGCTGTTCATATAAAACTGATTGTTTTCCTAATATTTATAGAGACAAATAGGAAAATGTTTAACGTATTGTATAATCATATAAGTAGTTCACCAGGTTTCAGTCTGGTTGATCATATTTGGGAGATTTAGGATAATTTATTCGATAGTGTCCTTACGAAGGCTGGACACCCCTTGTGAAGCGCCATGTATTATGATGTAATGAAATGAGACCAAAATAAATAATTCCAGAGATTTTTTTGACCTTAATTGTGACATTTACATGTCTTATTCCGCTGAAAAATATGCTAATTATAAGTCACAATAAACCCTGATTTACAAAGGCTTATTTGATTCACATTAAAGATGGCTAACTCATTTTTAAACAGTTCCAAAATGTGACATTAACATGTCTGTGCATTGGTTCAAATTACCACCTTATGACCTGTTTGCTGGTGGACAGAAAAATGATCAAAGCACCAACATTACTTAAGCATTTAACCTTCCTCTCTCAGCTTTTGAAGAAACAGACGTACCTCCCCAAGAGGGACGCTAAAGGTGACCTTCTTATGGCTGTGGATCACTGCTTCTCCATCCGCGGTCAGGGAACGGTCATGACTGGGACCATCCTGCAGGGATCACTGGCCATTAACGACACAGTGGAAATCCCAGTGCTAAAGGTTTGCTCTTAACACCGAGGTGTCTGAGATTTATGCACAGGTGACATTCCCTAACAGTGGAAATGGATGTGTGGAAACGGCAGAGATTCAGAAGTGGAGTGAATAGTTGTCTGTTCAGAGGATGTGCCTGTTTAATGTGAGGGAAATATGAGGGGAATTGGTGCTTTTCTGACTGCAGATCCTGTGTTTAATCAAGACCACATGCAAAACTGCTGCCTGCAGTTATTATGTTCGCCTCTTGGTGGCAGCAGATAGCTTAATTGACATTTCATCTGCTCGTCAATCTGGCTGATGAACGTTTGTGTTTCTTTATTTACTGTTAAAAAAACAATAATAATATCTGCCAAGCTGTTCATGTTTTGGTCTTACATTTTATTGAGTTACCATCCAAACAGATCTTCTAGATTCTTATTTGTGCACCTTTGAGGAAACACAACAAAACCTAGTCTTTATTTGTCAAACCCAGTTTTCAGATTAAGCTTATTAATCGTTACATCAAGGGAGGTCATTTGATTTTCGCATTCTTGGATTCTTAAATACCACAACTGATGCACTTATGAACAAAAAGGAGATTTATATTTTAATCTTGATTTTGTTCATTGTCAGTCTTTTTTAATCATTAGCTTTATTGTACATATTTATTTTTCGAAGCTGAATATTTTGACAACAGTGTCACTTTCAAGGGGAAAAACAAAAAAGTTTGAGTTTTTGCTTGTTAATTTACCAGTTTCCCGACATCTTATTGAGATATTTGAGAGTAAAACGTTTTTACAAATGTGTTTCTGAAGTTTAAAGCTTTTCCTCATCTGCTGCTGTTTAATCTGCGGCCGGGTTCATGTTAAGTATTGTGTATTTTTCTGTGGAAATGTGTTTTTAGGCGTGTTATTTATTGTGTCTGTGTGCTCTCTGACATCAGGTGACCAAGAAAATAAAGTCGGTGCAGATGTTTCGGAAGCCGGTGTCGGGGGCCATGCAGGGGGACCGCGTGGGTGTGTGCGTGACACAGTTCGACCCTAAACTGCTGGAGCGCGGCTTGGTGTGCACTCCGGGTTCCCTGCGCACCCTCTACGCAGCCATCATCTCCACCAGGAAGATCGGATACTTTAAGGGTTCTCTCGCCACCCGGGCCAAGTTCCACATCACGGTGGGTCACGAGACGGTCATGGCGAAGGTGACCTTCTTTGGCTTACCCCCTGCCGACACCGAACCGACTCCGTCGGAGCCGTCCTCACTGGAAACACCCTTCACCTTTGACAGGGAGTATTCCTACCAGGACGAGTACGTTAGCAGACAGAAAGAAGCGGCTTCAGGGCCCGACCCAGAACAGTGGGCTTTATTGGAGTTTGAGCGTCCCGTCACGTGTCCTGCACTCTGCCTGGTGATCGGCTCCAAGCTGGACACGGATATCCACGCCAACGCGTGTCGGCTGGCCTTCCAAGGCTGCTTGCTGCACGGGTTTGAAGACAAAAGCTACGCCGAGACTTCTCTGCCTCAGCTACGCATCTTCAAGACCAAACACAAGGAGGGACAGGTGGAGAGGGTGAGTGGTCGTCCAGCAGTTAGCTATTTATTTTAAATCAAATCAATTATATTTATTATTCCAATTAACAAGTTGAGACAGTGTTTCTACTGGTTCACCAAGGGATTTGTTTCAAAATTTATTTTGTAGATGAAGCACAAAAAAGATACAATTCAAAACAGATGAAAACAGTCCCTTCTAAAAGCATTAACAACCCAAGAACACTTTAACATATTGTCACATTACAACCAAAAACCTGCGTGTTTGTTTAAGAGGCTAGCACAAATTGGAGTATATTTTTGTGAAGTGCAAGAAAAATAGGGGAGTATTTAAAAAAAAAAAAAAACCTTGAAAGTGTGGCTTTCATTTGTGTTAACCCTGTTTTTCTCTGATACCCCTAAATAAAATCTGGCGCAACAAATTGTCTATAAAGTCTACCATTAAGAATTGGAGTCCACCTATGTGTAATTTAACCACGGAAATAAATTGGAGCAACCCATTATCCTGAAATGCAATTGTCATGTGTGCAACATCTGACTCCTTGCATTGAGTGTTTGGTCGGCGATTATATTTCGCGGAGCTTGCATGAGTGCTCTGAATGAAAATAAATCTGGCTGATTAACTGCACTTGCAAAAACATAAAGTAGAAAATATTTGTTATGATGGAGAAGGCAGAAGTTCAGCAGGACGGCATACAGAGCTACAGTAGACTGGTTTGAATTAAAGCATTTTGATGTGTTAGGAAGACCTACACCTGAAACTAACTGGGAATCTTTAACAAGACTGGAATAAAGTTCAGAGACTCTCCATCCAGTCTGGATGAGCTTCAGCTAATTTTCAATAAAGAATGGACAAACATGTCAGTATCCAGATGTGGAACGCCAAGGTACTTGCTACTGTAACCGTGTTGAAAGCTGTTTCAGCTCAGGAATGATGAACACAAATGCACACCGCACTTTTCAGATTTTTATTTGTAATGTAAAATTATGAAAAAGATTTCACAATGTTAACTCGCTTTGTGGTTGTCACAAAACAAAATGTGGAAAGGTTCACTGAGTGTTGATTTTTTTTTTTTTTTTTCCAAAGTATTGTAATTGCACTCCAGCTCCCCTCACTATCCTCTGCTGGGCCTGTTTTAGACTCCCAGGTGAGTTCTTCAGAGATCTCAAAAGAACTTCATGTGATCCAGTCTCTGGTGACTGTCTGCTCAGGTCAGGACCTCCTGGAAGTCAACGATCCCTTGTAGGGATACAACTAACAATTATTTTAGTAATCGACTATTCTACCAATATTCTCATGATTAACCAGTTAAAAAATGGCCATATTTTGAAGTATTGAAAGATACAAATAATTCATTTCATAAAAAGAAAGAAAAACATTGTGTTGTCTGACATGAGATAATTCAGCTTTCCTTCAGTGCACACTTGATCATTTGTAGCAAAAGATGTGTTGAGTTAATCTGTTGATTTTTTTAAACTAGCTCAGTAATAATAGGATTTGATGTCAGAAGTTTTTTGGTCCAGTCCTTGAGGAGGTCCTATTGTTCCTGTTGAAGATAAACTATGCCACTTGAGGAGTTCTTGGTAAAACATATTTACAGACATAAAGTGTTTTTTTTTTTTTTTTTACTCAAGTGCAACATGTTTTTGATGTTTTGGCATAATTACCGCTCTGATTGTTGTTCTTTCAACAAATGGCCTTTTTATTTCAGTTTCTATACTGAAGTTATTTAATCGATTACTAAATTAGCTGACGACTATTTTAATAATCGATTAATCACCATTAAATGTGATTAATCGATGAAACGATTAATCGTTTCAGCGCTAGTTGAACCATCACCTTTGAACTCCTTCTTCTTGCTCTAGTTCTTTGGATGTTTCTTGGTGCCGGTGCCGCCGGAGCGTGCCTCCCAGACACAGGCCCCCATTGTGTACTCACAGACACGTACACACAAACAATCGCACATATGTGGCCACGATGAGCCGCATTTGAGGCATGGGTGGTACGCATGCCTTAGCATGTGCTGCGACAGAAGCATGCGTGGGTGGCCGCCTGACGCCAGTCGCTCTGGTGCTGTCTAGCTATCGGAGGCTGGCGCTGTTTGGTCACACCTGAGCGGCACAGGAACATCCACACGTTCCGCATTCGTCTGAGCATCTTTCTCTCCCTGTCTGCACGCCGTTGTTATCATTCCTGCGTGTTTGCTGTTAGATTATGTCCCTAAACCTGAACGGTGTTCCTACAAGCTCACGCCGCTGGTGACTTTCATCGCGCTGTGTGTTACGGTTCGGTTTCTCCTTGTAGGCCCTCGAGCAGGGTCGCCAGGAGTTCAAAGTTCAAGTGTGTGAACTTGTTTCCTGCTTGAGCACCTCGGGCTGTTGACAGCTCCGCTCGTACGCTCAGGACAGCGCGAGGGGTCAGACGGCGGTCATGTGACGTCGCGTCCGTCGCTCGCGCCGTCTCGCGGAATGACCCGGCCGTGCCTCAGGACCAAAGAATTCCCTTTCTTAAAAAGAACACATTACTGTCATTGTTGAGATGTCACGAATCAGACGGTGCATCAGACATGAAAAACAACTGTACGCTGTTTTTCTTTGTATCAGCAGATCCGTCATGCTTGAGGGTCAAATGTTCAGGAATGAATCAGGGTCAGGCAGAAGAGCGAGGAAGCGTTGGTGGCGCAGAGACAGAGCGGTGCCCTGCAGTTATCAGATTAGTGACGGGGTTAGATCCACTTAGGGATGGGTGATAAGAAGAAATACAAATATGCCATAAATATGCTTAACTGTGGTGAAGAAAGTCAGAGATAGCCCGGCAGGCGAACCTCGAAGAATGTGGCCTGATGGCTCTTCTTCCTCAATCATACATGTTATAGGAACGTGTCTTTACTTATTCGAAGCAAAATTCGCCCAACATTTGTTACATGTTGAACAGTACTTTCTAAAAGCAGCTGTAATTCTGGACTTTTGCCACATTTTGTCACTTAACAACCAAAAACATCAACATATTTTATTCAGATTTTAGCTGATGGATGAACGAAGAGTAGTGCAAAATAAAAAATAAAAAATGAAGGTTTAACAAATAAAAATCAGAAATTTGAGGCATATTTTTGTATTAAACCCCCTATATTTGGATACTCCAAATAAAATCCAGTGCGTCCAATTTGCCTTCAGACGTCATCTGTGTGTAATTTAATCTAGGCATAAATCCAGCTGCCATTCAAAGGCCTTAGACGTTTATTAGTGAACGTTAAATTTAATATTTGTCACAAAAAATCAACAGTCCCTTGGAACCATGGTGACAGGGAGACGGCAACATTAAGGTATGGGAATGTTTTTTTTTGGTTTGTTTTTGATGTTTATGAAGCAGGAATGGAGTGTGAAGAAAGAGGCAACTAGCCACTGCTACTGTGGAATAGATTAGATCAACGCATATGCATGCAGTAGAATGACATAGTCAAAGTACAGCAGGAAATACAATTGGAAATGTGTGAAAGACACATTGATGAACTCGCATTTTAATTTCACTTCGCACTGATGCACTGCTTTGTGTTGGTCTAACTTGGATCTGCAGCCTTTACGAACCAAAAAGCCATTTTTGCTCTCAGTCCAACTAAACTTTAGAACCAAAGATGTTGTATCACTTTTGTGAAAATAATTTGTAAATGTAGAAAATCTGTGGTCAGCTTTAAGGAAATGCCATATTTTTCTATTTTTAGGTTTTAAAACAAAGGAAGACATGAAGCATTTACAAAAAGAGAATTGATAAATTTTATTCTAAAGGATGTTTAATTTTTTAGGAAAATTATGTAAACAAAAAAAAAGCACTCAGTTTTAAATGCAATGAAACACATCTGTAATCTACATTTATTTGTTTAAAAATGTTTTGGTCCTGCACTTTATTAGCTAATTTATTAAGAGCTGCTGCTGAAGGTCCAAAGAGCCACTTGCAGCTCCAGAGCCACAAAATCTCCTTGCTTTCGTTGAGACGTTTTTCCTGATATGAGCTCATTTGTTTTCCTGTCTCAGGTGACCGATGATTACTCCGTGATCGGCCGCAGTCTGTTCAAAAAGGAGACCAACCTCCAACTCTTTGTGGGGTTAAAGGTCAGTCTGTCGACAGGGGAGAGTGGCGTTATCGAGGGCGGCTTCGGACAGAGCGGGAAGTTCAAGATCCGTATTCAAGGTGAGGATCCGGTTCGACATCTGCTTGTAAATTTGGTGTCACTGATTGGTGTTTTAAAGAGTGACGCTTAGTTTGTTGTCACCTGAGCCTCCCTTGTTGCTGACGCCCACATCCAGTCCACTTTCAGTGTTTTGGGGCTCAGCAGACGGTTTTCAGGATGTGGTAAGAGCGGCAAGCCCGACATCCCGAGCCACATTCCCAGCATTCCTCTGGGGATGGCCTGTGTTCCGGGGGAAGTCTGATCAGTGTTTATTTTACCTTCTGTTGCTCAAAACCCACGAACGACTCCGCACCGGGAGGGAAGAGAAAACAAAAACATTTTAGAAACAGAACCAGGCCGACATCCTCCTCGCCGCCTTGTTCCTGCATCCTCAAACGTCTCAGATTTATCGACGTGCGCAGTATGCTCAGGCGGGAGCATAATGTGGACATTCAGCGGCGTCTCCATGAGGCTGTCAGTTTGGATTTAGATGCATCTGTGCAGAGCTGTGCTTCCTGCCAGTCGCTTTCTGTTGAATTTATAATGTGTCGTTCTTCAGACGAGTAAGGAACTGATTTTAAACGTGTCTGGTTCCTGTTGCTGGCTTCAGCTCCTCACACCAACCTTACTTCCAAACCTGCAAAGTAATGGTTTCGTTTTATTGCTCCAGAAGTGGATTGAGTCATGTTTCCACTGTTTTTCATATGTGTTTATGTTGAATTCAGCTGTTCAGACTCATTTTTGTCTGCCTGTCCTTGCAGGTTGGTAGTGTGAACGATACCAAATCAATTCCAAAACTGGGAAAATTTCTGGGTGTACCTTCTATAGAAAAAAAAATCAAACCAAATAAAAGCAGTGGCTTCTTGGATCAGGAAAAGAAATGCAGCTTATTACTGAATTACTATATTTTCTATGGTGAGAAAACAAGGAGTAATCAAAGTTAATGGTAGAAACTTCCCATCCAGTAAGGAGTCACAGCTGAATACAGCAGCTGGACCAGGTGTACCTTCAATGGAAATGAATCATAATTATTTTATTGTACTTAGTAATAACCCAGCTAAGTAACAAATTTAGCTGAATGATAAATTACCCCAGTAATTACTACAATAAACGATAATATTGTTTTGAGACCATTTTCAAGTGGTATATTGATAATGACATAAAAACACAAGTTTGCCATCGCAAAGATGAATAAACTTTAATTTTGTAAAGAATACTTGATACCTGAACTGGGAGATGTTTTAAACGTCAAATATAAAAACAATGTATAAAATGGAATTAAAAAATACACACAACCGAAACCATGAATAAAACTATAAAGATGTCTCTGTAGATAAAACTGCACTTTAAAAAATATTCATTATTAGAAAAGAAATCATCAAGCTCCCTTTCAATTAATTGATTAATTGCTTATTGTGACATGCGTACTTATACTCACCCCTTGTAAAAAAACCAAAAACAAAACAATAATAAATAGTGTCGTGTGAGATTACAGTCACATTGTTGGACTAAACAGTTTCTTATAGATTGCTGCGTCTCCTTTGACCTTTGACCCCATTCAGACACCATATTTTACCTGAACTTAACTTGAGTGACTTCTTCTTAAGGTGGCGCTTTGATGATGCTGATTTTTATTACTTTTTATCCAAATATAAATCAGATTTTTGAATATCTCAGCTTTTGGGTTTGGGAGGATTTTCTGGGAAATCACGCTGCTCTTGATCTGATGACTGATGTGTGAGGATATAGATGACAAAGGAAAAAATAAATAAATTACCAATTCACCACATTTACCGTGGTGTGAAAACGTAAGTACATGCAGCTGACTTGAAAAGCTTACCACAAACTCGGCCCGTTTACCTTAAACGATTTGTCGCTGGAGGTGCGTGAGCGTGTTTTCCAGCACAAAGCCGACGTATTTGGCTGATCCTAGATAACAGCCGGAGCATTCTGGCTGCGCTGCAACCATAACAGCCCTCACCTTGGCATGATGATAACAAGAAGAATGCTGGCGCCGATGTACACGGGGTCAGACAGCCTGCATGAAAAGCAGTGAACCCAGAACATTTCTTGCCTGCTGTGCGAAGAAGGGAAAGCACACGCCGCAGTCGGTTTTGCACAGGAGAAAAGACCTGAAACATGCAGGAAAACAAACATGAGGGCAGATACAGGGAGGAGGAGGTTGCTTTTGCATGAGTTTTGACAGTGAGGGAGATTGCTTTTTAGATCATACTGAAATACCTGCTGCACACTGCAAGAAAGAAAAGATCCACATCATGCACCAGGTTAAGCTGAGGAAGGTTTTGCACAGGAGAAAAGTGAAAAACACGACGCATGAAGGCGGTTTATCTGTTTAGATTTATATTATCCTCGTCTCCTCTTGACCTGTCTGCTGCTGATGTGTTTCTCAGAGGGTCTTCGCCCCGAGACCAAGCAGCTGTTGTCCTCCTCCAAGAAGAAGGGGAAAAGCGGCGGCAAAGGCGGGCCGTCAAGCGAAGAGGAGCCCAAAACGGAGTCCCAGTCTGTTAGCATTCACCTGCACTTCAAGAGATACGTGTTTGATCCCCATAAGAAGATGGTTCAGTCCTGACCCCTGCACACTCCTCTGATTCCTAGAAACAGGCCATGAAAGCAGCTTCAGAGGTTTTGGAGCCTTTTTGCTTTTAGGTTTTTTTTTCTGGAAGATGGAGACAGTCTGCAGAAATGTGATGACTGAGGAATGTTGAACGCATGTGAAACAGTGATTGTTTTATCTCTCCCTAAGGAGCTCGGCATAATCCTGTTTGCTCCACCACAACAGGGGAAAGCTGCTCTTTTTTTTTTTTTTTTTACCCCTATACACGACTTTCATTTAATGATCCAAATCTGCTGATGTCTACTGAGTTTTACTTATAGATATATGAAAGATAATAATTTTTCTGTCTTGATCGAATAAAATAATTAGTAGCAGAAATGCAGAGCTCAGGTTGGTCTTTGTGTTTACTTCCTGTGCGTCTCATCAGCAGCGATAATGCAACGTTCCAGTTTCGTTATTCACTGGCTCCTGCTTTGTCTCTGACTTGTCTTTGTCTCAGTTTCTTTTTTTTAATTTCCTCATTATTCACTTAAATGTCAGATGACTGGTCAGGTTTTTTTTTTGTTAAGGAAGTAAAAAAAATAAAAAAATAAAAGTATAATTTCAAAAAGTGACAGTGTGACCTCTGACTTTTCAATGATTCCTGGAACACAAATAATTTGCGTACACCTTGTAAAAACATTTTTTTGTTACTTTCCTATCTGACGTTAAATCCAGATAAACTTTATATTTGCAGCCAGAGGTTGGTAGAGTAACCGTAAATTGTACTCAACTAAAAGCAGCGCTACTCCAACATATTTTTATTCATGTAAAAGTTAAAAAGTACCTGTCCAAGAAATTACTCTGGAGTAAAAAAGTATTTTGTAAAGAAAAGCTACTCAATTACTGAGTAGTTGATGGAATATATATATTTGAAAATTACATAATCTGACATAAACCGAAATATGACCAAAGTGAAAATAATTAATATAAATGACAAAGGAGCATTTTTCCAAATCAATTAATTTCAATACAAAACATTAAACTGCTACGAATAAGCTTCTTTTTATTCAGTAAAGTTACTCACAATGGGTAAATTATCCAGAAATTTTATTCAAATAAGAGTAGCAGTACTACATAGTAAAATTACTCAAGTACAAAGCACAGCATAGTAACAATATTGCTGAAAGTATGTATTTTTCCAAATAGTTATTGTAATAAGGAAATAATTGTAGCTGAGTAAATGTAACTGGTTGGTACTCTGATATTAGCCTATCGGATCGCTCTGAGTTTCTACAGAATGAGACGCAGAGGGACGATGTCTGGGTTTCCATGTGGATCCTGAAGTGAGGTGAAGCATTTCCAACTTTGTTTAAACATTTTCTCAACACCTATCGCCTTTATAATAGCAATCTTCTGGCAGCACATCAGTCAGTTAATGTTATTTGACTCCATACTGAAAACTCTCCGTGTTTGCTGAGATGCATTTCCAGAACTATCCAAACAAACAGTTTCCCTCCGTATTGAACGCTTCAGTGCGTGGGGAAGATTTTACTCGTTTTCTGAGGATTTTTGCTCACACTTGTGAATTTGCGGGTTGGACGCCGCCGCTGTGATGTCAGCAAACCGTCCCTGCGAGCAGCAACTCTATCGCAGCAGGAATCTGAGGAAAGGCGGAGGGAGGAGTCCCAGGAGGAAGAGGAGGACACTGGAAGAATTGTTCCTCTGAGTGACAGTCCTTTTAGGCTTATCTCCACTCATTCCTCTTCCAGCAAACCAGACGCAGGAGGAAAGAAGAATAAGTAGCTCTTTACTCCTTGTCTTTTCACATTCTCTTTCTTGTTGCAGCTCTTCTTTCGTTCTCAGTCCGTTCTGGTTTAATAGGAAGCATCCTTTCTTCCTCTGCCGTTCACAGTATTAATTACCGTCGGTACGATTAAAACTGTTCAGGTGGGCTCGGCTTGTAGACTACAAACATTTATTCATGACCGGCCAAATATGTTCTGGTGAAACATTTATGATTGGAGCTACTGAGTCAATACAGTCAATTTGAGATTATGGTTAGGAATCAAGGTGAGGCTTTCAAACTTATGAATATTGTGCTATTTCTCAAGCATGGTAGAGGAAGCATCATGCTGAGGGTCTGCCTGTCATTGAAGAAGGACTAGCTCCAGTTTCTTCAACCTGGTTTTGGAAAAGTGAAAGCAGGCTGACATGGACCTCAACCTTTATCAAAAATATATATAAACACACTCTTGTTTTTATTGTTAGTTAATTATTTAATTTCTCTTTAGAATCAATAAAGTATTTTTGATTTGTATTTGAGATATCCAGTTTTAATTGGATATTTCAAACAAAGTATGGTGTTCCTCTGAAGTTTGTTAGGAGATATTGATATAAATAAGTTTTTGTTCAGTCTAATATCAGTGACGTGTGTGTATTACACAGCTCTGGAAAAAACTTTATAGACCAGTTAAAATGATCAGTTTCTCTGATTTTACTTTTCGTCGGTAAATGTTTGAGTAAAATGAACATTGTTCTTTTATTATATGAGCTACTGACAACATGTCTGAACTTCCAGGCAAAAATTTTATATTTATTTGCAGAAAATGAGAAATGGTCAGAATAACAAAAAAAGATGAAGTGCTTTCAGACCTCAAATAATGCAAAGAAAAGAAGTTCATATTCATTGAGAACCAACAAAAGTAATGTTTTAATTCAGGAAGAGCTCAGAGATCAACATTTGGTGTAATAAGCAGAAGGTTTTCAGTGGCGTTCAGTCCAGTGGTCTTTTCAGAGAAAGAAATTGAGATTGGTCATTTATGAGAAAACTGAACTGAGTCCAAACTTCTTCCCATGATTGCATGTTCCTCCTGTTGTGTTTGACTGCACAAATAAAATATGCCACCTTTGTTATCTTGCTGTGGTCACTGGAGACTGAAAGTGAGACTGAGACTGCATCCACGTTTTACATGATAATCATCACATGTTAACCTTTATGAATGACCCTGGACTCCCTATTCTCCTCTATGGTTTCCTATTGAACTCGCCTCCTCTTCCCCCCACCCCCCCTCCTCTTTCCAGAGATAAGACACAGCTGAGATGTTTCCCCCCCCTCAGCAACCCCGTCCTTTCTGCTGTTGACGTCCAGGTCAGCCAGGAGTCAAGGGTCACCGTCTGAGCTCCTGAATGTTTATAAATGGAAACCGGTCTCTGATGAGCACAGATAACAGATATTTATAAAGAAACAGAGAGTGGAGGTGGCTGGGTTATTGACAGAGCAGACTGCAGAGGAAGAACAGTTTGAGGCAGGAGAGCTGGAAAAGAATAATTAGCAGCTATTTTGGTGATAAATGGAGGCAACATTAATTAACAAATTAACCAGTGGGGATGCGGTTAGACTGCTAATGCGCTCTTTTAGCTTCAGTATGTGTATTTTGACAAAATAATTTCCTCTACAGTTGTTTTATTTGAGCAGCGCCTTTCTTTTTCTATACAATCCAACTCAAATCTTTCATTTTTTTTTCTTTTAAAGACAGATCCAACATTTACAGCAGATTTTTGATGACATAAACC